ACACCACGGCCACTGGGACTGTCATTATCAACAGCAGCAGCAGCCGCCATGGTATACCCGCAGGTACAGCACAGCACAACGGCCAACACACACATCACACGGCGCATCATCATCATCATCATGAGAGAGAGACAAGGGTTTGTTTCACGTAAAAACACTGATCTAGAAAGAAAGACAATCAAAAAGCAAAAAAAGAAAATACATGAAGTATCAAACATGTTAGGACACACAAATCAATTACCACTATGGAAACTCGCATCGTGAAAGTAAAACCTACCATTTAAAGAATACAATACAGCGCAATAACCTCAGTAAGAGTAAAAACAAAAAAAAGCCCACACTCACAAATATTTCAAAAAAGACTGAGCAAGCCAGCAAAATCATCACGCAAAGAAACAGATATTAAACATTTGCCCAACTTACCAAGTAAACACAGAAATATACACCAACTATGGGTGTAAGTCTATATGTGTATGTATATACGCAATTATAAAAATAAATTCATCTGTTATTATTATTTTTTTTTTTCACTACAACAAGCAGTTCATCATTATCATCACAGTGCAAGCCCAGAGGCAGACAGAGGGAGAGTCTCCAAGAACACACACACACACACACAATAGAGTAGCAATAATAATTATTATAGGATAAACATAGAGAGAGCAAAAACACACAATAACATTAACATTAAGAAACAAAAAAAAAGAAGAGATAATCCCAACAGGTGGAAGATTAGCTAGACTGTAGGGATGTATGCAAAAAAAAGAAAAGAAAAAAAAAAACAAAGGATGACCTGAGTCACACCACCACAATCAGCACACAAGAATACAGGCCAGTGTAACCACAATCAGTAGTGGTACACGCACCCACACAGAACTGCTGATACTGCTGCTGCTGTCTGCATCACCCTTCTTGTTGTTTGTGAGTTCAGGAGGAAGTGTTGTTGTTGTTGTTGTGGTGGTGGTGGTGGTGGTTGAGGTTGAGTCCTCATTACTGATTGTAGTTGAAGTTTCAGAGTTCGTACTTGCTGAGTTATTTGTTGCTGTCTGTGCAG